AGATCAGAGTATGTGTGTACGCGGAATACTCTGAGTTTCTTTCGCGATCGCGGCATGTCACACAGTACACCGACACCCGTGTACTAGAGCCGTAGCTAAAAACTAAGCGGCGCCCCCGCCCGTACGAGGTACGTTGTACGACGTACGGCTTAAATTACGGCTTTCGTGTCGATTTTCCATGTATATACTCTACCTACCTCTAGGTAACCCTCATCCCTCGTCAAGTCTCGGGCTCTGGTGAGGCTGGAGCTGCCTCTCTCAGCACTCAGGCTCAGCCCTGGAAGCCCCAAGAACTGTGCCGTGGGTTAGCTGACCCTCACGCCTCACGCCTCAGCCCGGTCGCCTAGGTGGCCGCTGCGCTGCAGCCCGCTTCCCATCGCCTCTGGCACGTCCCCTCGCTGAGCCCCTCCCGACGCCGCGACGCGGCGGCCGAGCTATCGCTGTGGCGGCTGCGCCCCGCCGCCCGGGTGACCCGTCCTCGTCCTCGTCGTCCTCGTCGTCCTCGTCCTCGTCCTCGTCCTCGCCCTCGCCGTTGGCTGCGGCTTTCGCGGCGCGAGCCGCGGCCCGCGCCGCCTCCTTGCGAGCCTGCGTCCGCACCCACGCCGCGACGATCCCACGCTGCTTTTCGAGCCCGCCGACCGCCGGCAGGCGCGAGGCGGGATTGATGTCGTGCAGGTCGAGCGCTGCGAGCGCGAGGGCTTTGCCCACGTCGCGCCAGTGGGCCGGCGTATACTTTAGCGCCGCACCGCGCGGCGGCGAGGGCGGCGGCGAGATTGCCGCGGCGTCCCGCTTGCACGCAGGGAGCTGCACGGGCTGGAGCTTGTTGACGAGCCTCCCCTCGTTATAGCTGCACTCGAGGGTGTACACGTGAGTGAGGCCCGTCATGGTGAACACAAACCCGCTACCCGCCCCGACCCCTCCTTGGACTTGCCGTCACGGCGGTCCTTGCGGGACATGTTCCGCGCCGAAAAGTCGCACCCGTTGAAGTCGACCCACCGGCTGTTGAGCGCCACGAGCTTTGCGTAGAGCACATTCTCCACCTGCTGTGCGGACGCACGCGTTCCCGAAGAGGAAGCACGGCTGTGGCGTGCGCGTGGATCGACGTAGAGATCAGCTCTCCCGCCGCAGGCTTGATCACCTCGCCACGCCGTGGACGGACGGGTGCGCCTCGAGCGACTGTCCAGGTAGA